GCGACAGCGGTCAGGACCCATACGCCGCTGGTCCAAACCCCGTGGCTGGACGAATTCCCAGGTTGACACAGCGTTGGGACCATCCAGTGCCTCCGAGGACATATGTAGAGTTCAGCGACCGTCTCGGAAGGACGTGTGGGGTGGATGTGACGATGACCCCCCCCCCCCCCTCCTCGCCCAGAGCGTCCATGCTGATGATGATGGTGACCTCATCGCTGAGATGCGCGGCCTATGTCAGGCTGGTCCACGTATGCCCCCCTTGAGCATCGCCGACCTTCGGCAGGCGGCGCAGGGTTTCTCGGGGCGCACGGCCCTTGGGCCAGATCAGTTCAGACCTCGCCACTGGGCATTGGCCTCCAATGGGGCCTTGGCTGTCTTGGGGTACCTACTACATCTATGTGAGGTCTTCGGGGCATGGCCCACGATTATTAGACGTGTACACATCGCCCTACTGGGCAAACCGACGGGAAGGTACCGACCTATTGCGTTGCTACCATCTATCTACTGCGTGTGGGCCCATGCCCGACTATCCTGGGTAAGGGCCTGGTCGCCCCGACTAGGTCGCCCATACCTTGCACTCGGCCCACAGCGATCTACGACGGACGTTGCAGCTCGTGTGATGGTCACAGCGAAGGCAGGGGGGCACTTGCAGCCATAATCTCAGGCATCTGTGCACGCGATCGTTGACATAGCGAAGTGCTTTGATAAAGTGCCCTGGCTGTTGCTGTTGCGTGCGGGTATTCAGGAAGGCGTCCCAGGCCCCATGCTCCTCCTCGCCTTTAAGGTCTACATGTGCAGCCGACGCCTGGTGTGGGACAATTGCTACTCGGATGTTGTATTTGCGCAGTGCGGTGAATTGCCAGGATGTGCAATGGCTATGTTCGCCCTTCAGTGCATCATGCTTGCCCCATTCGATCACCTTACACACAGCACTATGGACATCCCACGCAGCATAGACGTGTATGCGGGCGACATTACGGTTCGCATATACGGCATGCTACGACACATCGGTCCATGGTCTCAGCGGGTTGTACTGCTACTGGTCCAAGTCCTCAAGGCCCTGAGGCTCCCACCAGCCGCCCGCAAGATGAGGCTTACTAGCTCCATCCCTGCGCTGGGCAAACATGTGGCCTATCAACTTCGGTACCCTGGGCATGCCTACGAGGAGGCGTTGGAAGTTCTTGGGTTGAGGTCTCGGGTCGCCCAGTGCGTTGCAGGAGGCTGCGACAACGTGTGAGGGGTGTTGCCAGTCGTCGCCCACGCTTTGTCTCCCTACGCAGAGTTGGTCCCCTCCTCAGTCGATTTCACAAACAGGCTCTCCCACCAGCCTTGACTCATGGTCTAGGCTACACGCCCCCCCCCCCCCCCCCCCACGGCTGGTTGAACAAATGCGATTGGCGCAGAGAGGTGCGCGGCACGCTCCAGGCTCCAGCACATCGCGTTGGATCACATCATGCCTCCAGGGGTCGGCGTGCACTGATCCCCAGGTGGTGGCCTGGGCCGCGCCGCTGTACCAGTGGTCTCTTCTTTTTCGCGACCCGCAGGTGCCCCGCAGTACCCTACAGTCAGCATGGCTTCGCCAGATCCAGAAGATCTATCACTCCTCGCACCCGTGGCGGCACGTGTCGGGCCCCGCTGGCGCTACAGTGCCTAGCACTACGGGAGCTCGGGTGGGCCACCGTCAGCAGCACCATTTGGAGTACAGACCAAGGAGTCAGAATCAATGTCCGTGATGAGGCACAGTCCACCATCCGTCAGCTTGCTAGAGACGCAGGGGTTCGGCGCCTCTGGGAGAAGTGGGCTCATCGGTCACCGCTTCCAGGGCAAGATCCTATCCCTCGGGAGCCTATTGGCTATTGGATCGAACCAATATTGCAGATTCTCTCCCAGGTCGACTTACCTGAAGACGACGACTCAGGGACTGAGGGCGAGCCCGACGATCATGATCATGATGATGATGCGCGCCCGATCCCACCCCCTGTAGGACCCAATCCCTTTGCCGAAAAATGGAAGCCCTCCCTCAAGGAAGCAGGTCTCCTACGTGCGTACTTGGGAGGTGGTCTTTGGAGCCCGTCACGGCCTGCGAAGTGCAACTACAGGGATACCGGCTCATGTCCAAGATGTGGGGCGGCCTCATGTGATTTGTATCAGATTGTGCACATGTGATCCTCACTTGATGCACAGCGCCAACAGCACATGTCTCACATTCGCACGGCTGGGTTCCCCATGCAGGCACGTGGCTCCATGTTGTGGTCGTCAGGACTCGTATCCCGCTCTTGCTTTCCTCCGTTACCACCGCGGGACTGCACTGGGCGCTGGCACACCCAATGTGGCGACCCGCAAGGCATCACTGGCAACATCTACACGGATGGTGCGTGTCAGCGTATGTGGTATTGGCCTGGGGCCACACGAGCAGGATAGGGTTTCTGCCAATTGAGTGAGCCGCCGCCTGGGGTAGACATTCTTGTTTACGGGGCACTCCCAGGCCCCATGCAGTTCTCGCCCAGGGCCGAGCTTTACGCTCTCCTTCAGGTTCTCCAGGTTTGCCCTGCCCCTGTTTGTGTGCACACCGACTTCAAAGGCCTGGTCGATGGCCTTGCCCTTGGAGCCCGCTGGCATTGCGCGCCTCGGCGTTTAAACGTCGACCTGTGGGAACGCATGTGGGCCGAGATTTCTGACCTGGGCGAGGTCGGGTCTGATGTTCGAGTTTCCCTTGTTAAAGCACATCAGCAGGGCCAGAGTACCGATACGCGCGGCAATCGGCGGGCTGGCCTTGCTGCGCGCAACGGCAGAGACCTCCACTCCATCCCCAAAGCTCAGGTCAAAGCTATGAAGCTGGGCCATCAATACTACACCCGCCTCCTACGATGGGGCACGACTGCCCTGGGGCTTTTCTTCGGCGAGCAGCGTGCCGACACTCGACCGCGCAGGAAAGCCTGCCGGCGCCCTCGGCGCGCCACGGCTCCTTGGAGCCCAAGGAGGCCTCGGCCCACTTGCGCCATGTTTTCTCCCAGGTTCCCCATCGTAGCATATGGAGGTGTGAGTTTTGCAGGAAAGGCTCGAAGCTGGAACGGGCCCGTCGTCGTCTCTCTTTGCTTGCTTGCCCTGCTCGTTTGCGTGCTGCTGCCGACATCCCAGGGCGCTCCTCTACTGTCAATCCCCCTGGTGACGCTGCGCGTGCCCAGGCCGACAATGGAGGACAGATGCCGACGAATGGCGGCAGCAGTTTCGGTGCTGCGGTGCGGCTTCGCTCCCCCTCGGACTCGTCTCGCTCGGTGCGCCCTCAGACGGGGCCCCCCACGCGTGGTCGCGAGCGTGTCCAAGGGGAGGAGGAGGCCCCCCCACCTCCCTCGGGCCTGGGTAGCCCTTCCTCGCCTCGCCCTTGCAGCCCCCCCCCCCTGGCTTTGAACGACACGTCAGGCCACGCGTGTGCTTCGAGCCCGTTGCTTTTGCTTGGGACGGAGCCGCGAGTGTCCAAGCTGGCGCCGCTGCCAAGGTTCACTTCCTTCCCGAGCGCTCGGGACCTGTCTTCCTCACTGACAAGAGGAGGCGGATCGGATCCAAGCGCCCAAGTCGGCCCTCTTTGGCCGACACTACGGTACCAGCCGAGCCCATGCTTGGAACGGGCCCTGTCCCTGCCACGGCCGCTCGCGGCCACCGCCTCTGGGTCTCCTCGGGCCACGTTTGTTTGTGTGTCTCCTGTGGTGCTTGTGCTACGGGCACGGCTGGTCACCTTCTTATTGGTTGCCCGTCAGGGGGGCACCCACCGTCTGTCAGAACGGGCGGTGCGTAACCGACGTTTATCCATGCAGGGTTTTCATCCTGCGGACGAGGGGGCAGAGGGCTCCCGTAGAGCCCCCGCGCCTCGTCCGCTTCTCGCTTCGGACCCTGAGACTCACTGGGTCAGGCTCCACGGGGGCCCAACTCCTCACCTGGGTGGCGGGGCGTAGTCCCCTGCCTCGTTTTGTCTGTGTGGCTGGTACCCGAGATCCTTTAGGTGGGGTCCCATCCTCTTCGCAGGCATGCCAGGCTGCCTGCAGCTTGGCACCCTTGGTGGGCGCTCGTGCACCGCGCGACGCTTCCCTTGGCAGTGCCGTATCCTCCTCCTCCTCCTCCTCTTCCTCCTCCTCCTCCTCCTCCTCCTCCGCCTCCTCCTCCTCCTCCTCTTGTGGAAGCAACGCC